AGCATGGGGCAGGTCCGAAACAAGGAAAACGTCAGGGATAGTGAGATCCCTAATTTCTTAATACTGCATTCAGAACATCATTTTTGGATATTTATATGATCTTATTTTGGAATTTCACATTATGACTCTTAAACCCATTTTGAGAAGTTTTATGCATTATTTCATATTTACATGTTATGGTCATTTATTATTTCAGTCTTCATCTTTAAATTTTATAAGTATTGAGATAACTTAGTAATTGCATGTGAGCATTTCATTTCAACCATTAACATCAATATCAAAATACTTTTAGCCACGTGGGCGTGGTTCCGTTCAAGTGTGAGGAGGTAGGAGTTCCTGGTTGAAATGATCTCTTTAGGAATTGTTTTGTCTATATATTTGTAGGAAATTTTTTTTTTTATAGTATAGTCATCAATTTTAATTATTTGATTAATTAATCTTTAGTTATCACCCGTAAAAATTGGAAATTTTTAAATTTTTGTCAAACTTCTATTTCTACTCTAACCTTTTTGGGAATGTTTTCTAAAATAATTTGGGATAAATTCACAATTTATTAAGAGTTTTTTTGATCAATTAATTTTTAAGTGCTTTATTGAAAATCTTTTTGCTGATAGTATTTGTTGTTTCTAAAAAGTGTTATTTTCAAGGTATAAGGGGTGACGTTTCAAAGCATACTTTGGTGAGACCGAGATTCTTGTTTTAGCCAAAAAGCAATTGGTTCTTTGTCAATTGATGAGGCGTGGTGAGTATGCCAAAAAGCACGTGGTTCTATATTGCGTGATGAGGCCTTTTGAGTGTTTGAGTCAAAAAGCATGCGGTTCTATGTCGTGTGATGAGACTTTCCAGAGTGAATATCCAAAAAGCTCTTGGTTCTATGTCACAGGATGAGGTTATAAATTTTTCTCGTGTCAACATGATAAAGTTATGCCAAAGAAAATTAAACCCTTACGCTTTGACAAATATTTTTGCAAGAACATGTTTTCCAATTTAGCCATTAAAAAAAAGATATTTGATCTTTAAAGTACTCTTACAAATGTAGTTATCCCAAGGAATGTTTGGAAAATTTTGGTTGGTGTAAAGATATTGGTTTGACAAAATTCTTTTACATTTCTAACAACATGGGTGAGAATCTAAAGGTTCATTTATTCCTAACAAAAAGGTTGATGACTATCTCATTCCTTCTATCCTTCATAATATGTAGCTTAACCCTTCCCTCTGCAATTATTAATTTGTCTTTATACTTATACTTATTCAATTTGTTGCTTGAGGGCAAGCAACGTTTAAGTGTGAGGAATTTGATAAGTCCGTTTCGTTCTTATCATTTACATCATATTCTAAACGTATTGCACGTAAATAGTATTTAATCATCTCATAAAATGTGATATTAATGGATAAAACTCTCATTTTCGTTCTAAGAGTCATAAAATGGGATTCCACATGAAATCATCATAAATCATTCATTTTTGTTCAAGTATTTGAGAAAAAGGGAATAAATCAACAAGGGATCAAGATTCGGACTTGAACGAGCTTCCGGGAGGTCAAAAACAGTGTTCGGGGCCAAAATGGAGCGAAATTGGGCCAAAATCACGAAACAGCCGCCAAGCCCAACGGACCAAGGTGTTATACCCCTGGATGGCTCCACCAAAATCCCAACCCCTCCCAAATATCCAAAAGTATTTTATTTCCTTTTGATATCCAAAATAAAGTTTTTCCTACTCTTATTTTAGCCTAGGGCCAAAAATAAGAGTGTGTAAAATACAACCTTTTGTTTGTTGTTATTTTCCTTCTTTTAAACCTTTTAATAAACAAATAAAACCTTCTCTCCCTTCCTCTAAATCCCTGGCCAAATATCCCTCACAATCCCAACACAACATCAACAAAGAGCCAAAAACCATGACCCACAACCAGCCATATATCCTGCCCATATTCCCCTTACAATATCCCAAACCCATAAATCCAAAATCACATTATTCCCTTCCCCTTCCCCTTCACCCTTGGCCAAGAATCCCTGCCCACAATCCATGTCACAGCCCCCACAATTGTTCCCCATTATACTCTCCATTATGTGTAAGGAAACAAGCTGCAAACAAACAAAACATATTGGCCCCACCTTGGCAGCCACCCAACTCACCTTTGCTCCCCATAAACTACCTATTACATCCCTCCAAAATAGCCAACCCACTCACCCCTTGTACCCCTT